CGTTGTACCCGGCCCAGCACCTGGCCCAGGAACCGCTCGGTCTCCCCCAAGACCTGGGGGCCAGAACAGGGTTCAGGAGGAGCAGTGCAGGGGGTGGGTGGGGAGGGTCAGGACAGGCCCCAGGCACCCACCTCCTGCAGCTCCTGGCTCTGCTGCTTCAGTTGCTGCAGGGCCCCCTGGCGGGCCTCCTCCTGCTCCAGGAATGGGAAGACATGGCAGTGGAAGCTGCAGAGAAGGGACGAAAGGGCCGAGGGTTTGCCTGGGAAAGGAGGCTCAGGGGAGCTCCTGGGGCAGGAGGGGACAGGACAGATATGGTGGAGGTGACATGCAGGGGTCTGGGATGCACGGAGCCCAGTGAGTGCCCAGAGCCAGGCTGAAAACTTTCTCGGGCCCAGTGCCCCCACCCCAGTCTCACCAGTCAGTGATCTTGCGGATCTTCTGTCCGATCTGCTCACCCCAGTAGGAGATGAGAAAGGTCATCCATGTCGTAGGCTCCCCCTGCAGGACCCAGGCTCAGTTTACCCTGGTGTTCCAGCTCTGCCCAGCACACCCCCAGCCTGTCCCTTACTCGGCTCACCGTCACAGGGTCCTCCAGCTGCTGCTCCACCTCCCTGAAGCTGGCAATGAGGAAGCCGCGGCAGGCTCTCCAGAGCAGACGCTCCAGCGCGGCGGCCTTGTGGGGCTCCACGGCACCTGCCACAAAGCTGCCAGCAGAAGTTTCCCCTGGTGTTCCAGCTCTGCCCAGCACACCCCCAGCCTGTCCCTTACTCGGCTCACCGTCACAGGGTCCTCCAGCTGCTGCTCCACCTCCCTGAAGCTGGCAATGAGGAAGCCGCGGCAGGCTCTCCAGAGCAGACGCTCCAGCGCGGCGGCCTTGTGGGGCTCCACGGCACCTGCCACAAAGCTGCCAGCAGGGCTGGGTGGGGGTGGCTCCCACCTCCCTCCCTGCCTCACCCAGCTAGGCCATCTGGCAGGGCCCTGCCTCCAAGGCAAAGCAGAAGCCCACCCGGGTGCCCAGAGAGGAGAAAGCAACAAGAGCAAAGGCTTGGGACTACGGAAAGTTCCAGGCCTGAGGGAGGAGCAGAGGACAAGCAGTGCTCAGGCACGTGAGTGAGGGAAGAGCACGGAACAGGGAGTCCGCGCACGGCCTGGTCAGGGCTCGGGCTGACAGGAAGGAGCTTGAAGTGGACCTGTACTCACTTGACCCTCAGGTCCTGGTGTGGCCCCTTGGAGTGCTGCAAGAGGGGGGTCGTCTCCGAGAGCCCATCTGTGTGGGTGGCTACCAGCTAAGAGCAGAGCGACACCATGAGCCCACCCCCGGGGCGGCCTGGCACCCCCTGTTCGACCCTCATCCCCTGCCTGAGCTGGAGCTGACCGGGGTACCATGGCCCTGGGCCAGCACGGCTGAGTGGAGCTGTAGCTGGTGTAGCTGGGCCCGCAGGGCCTGCTGGTTGCCCCGCACATCTCGCAGCTCCTGGGCCAGGCGATCTGTCTCCTCCTGGATGCGCAGCAGGTCACGGGGCGGAGGCGCCAGCAGCCTCCCCTCGGGTGGGGGCAGCTCCTGTCCAGCTCGCCTGACCTCCTCCTGCAGGAAGGCTGGGTGCAGAGGCACAGGGTTGGGGGCCACTCGGGGTCCACTGTTAGCCAAAGGCTAGTGAACACCAAGGGGATCGCAGATGCCACCCACACTCCACCAGTCACTAGCTAATGAACTCAGCCAGTCAGAGACTCTCTGAAAACCCCCAGGCCAAACCTCCCTCCCTCCCCAAGGGCCTGCTCCCCTCCCTCTGAGCTCAAGTCTGGGCTGCTGTCCCTCCCCAGTCCCTCGCCACCCACAGCCCAGGGCTGAGGCCCATGGAGTTCTCCTGGGCATTTGCGGGGCCTGGACCACCATCTGATGAACCAAGAAACAGCCAAGTCAGACCTCTCTATTCCCCTTCCTTGGAGGAGGCAGGGGGCTTCATCTCTTGACAGGGGTTTCCAGAGCAGAGACAAGGGCAGGAGTCCCTCTCTCCTGGGTTCAGAAAGGAGCTGCTCCTTGGAGGCACCCAACCCTAGATCCTGGTTCCCACCCATCCACAGAGGAGAAAGCTCCATCCGGGCCTCTGCCCTGCTTAGAAACTCCTGTAGCTCCCCAGCGTCTGTCAGACAAAGTCCCAGGTTCTCACACTGTATTCGAGGCCTCCTCCAAGCCAGCCCTGCCTGGGCCCTCTGCTCAGCCCACCTGAGGCTGCCCTGTTCCCAAGAACGCCCCTCTGATCCCAGCTGCTCTGTCTGGCTCTGGCTACATCTCCCTTCTCTGCCCTCCACCTGGATAACCCAGACTTTCCCTTTCACACCAAGCTTGGCTAGCACCTCCTCCAGGAAGCCTGCCTGGGATATGGGATTAAGGCCAACTCACTGAAGGTCTTCTCCAACTCCTCGCAGCGCCGAACATCTACCACGAAGCGTCTCTGAAAGGCACTCACTGAGGCATTGAGCTGTGGTTGTCAAACAGAGGGGTCAGTGTCCCTGAGGAGAGGCCAGAAGGGTCCCCACACCCCGGGGCCCAGGCCTGCCTCTCCTCAGGTATGAGCTCCTTCTCTGTAAAGGTGCAGAGTGTGCCATGAGCCTCCAGACACCCATGTAGAGCACAGGCCTCATGCCCCAGAGAGGGTGTGAGCAGGAGCTGAGGAGGCTTGGCCAAAGCCAGGCCAGGGCAGGGTCTCCTACGGCAAGGAGCTGCTGGGTGCGAATGGGATCAGGGGCCACTCTGGAGGAGGTGGCCCTCATTTAGGCCTAGATTGCAGGCCTGGCTCAGTGGCAGAGACCCACATGACATTCCCAACCACACCTGGCCCCTACTCACATCTCTGAACTCTACGATGCCCAGCTCGCCAAGCTGGCTCACGCAGGAGTAGGCAGCTGCTGTGGGCAGGAAGAGCTGAACCAGGGCCACCTCCTCACTCCGGAACATGGAGCCCATGGTCCTGTGCGGTGGGCAGGGGGCCGTTCAGGCGTGGACCACAGACAGTTCCTCACTGAGAAGGCCTCCCAGACCCCTCGCAGAGCCCTGGAAGGTACTGCTCCCACACCATCTGACAGATAAGGACCAGGCCCTGGAAGGTGCGGCGGGCTGCAGGGTCACCAGGAAGAGAAAGGTGCGGCGGGCTGCAGGGTCACCAGGAAGCAGGAGGACTGACTGCCTGGCCCAGCCTGCCACCCAGCCTCAAACTCTCTCCTAGCTTGTTCTTGCCGTCCCGCCTCTCCATCCTGCCCTCACCCTACACCCCGCTCGCTCACTCATTTCCTCCTTCAGCCTGGCTTTCTACTCCAGGGGAGGCTTTGACAACTGACACCCTGGGCTGGGGTGGGGCTTGTCCTCTGGGACAGTGGAAGCTAAGTGAGGAAGGGGGACTGTTGGAGGGGAAGCACCTGAGGCCTGGGTTGCTGAGCAGCCGTTAAAGTGAGGGCTGGAGGCAGAAGCAGCCTTCCAGGTGTTGAAATCAGCGAAAGTGAAACTGGGGAACGGACGGGAAGGGGGAGGGCCAGGGTGGCCTCCAACCGGCCCTGCTGATGTCCCAGCCCACAAGTCAGGACTCCCAGGTCCCCGCCTGCTCCATGGCCACTACTCTTGGGGCTATTTCCTTGACTCTCAAATTCGGGGGGTGGGGAGGGACAGACAAGGGTGAGGACGCTGCTGGGTCGGACCTTTTGGCACCAGAGCACCCAGCCTTCTGCCTGGGCTGGCCAGTGCCTGCCCAGATGGCCACTTCCTTCCCTGAGCCTGGTTTCCTAACTCTAAATAGGGAACTGCAGCCCCATCCCCAGCCTGGGAAAGGAGAGATCACTGAGGGGGCAGTCCAAGGGGCCGAAGTGCAGAGCCCTGGGCAGGGAAAAGAGGTAGGAGGCCTGGGTGCCCTCACCTAAAGACATGGCTGGGTCACTGGGTGGATACTGAGGACCAGGGCTTGGGGCTCTGCCCCAACCGTGACTGGCTGTGTGACCCTGAGCTAGTTTCTCACCCTCTCTGGGCCTCCACGTCCTCTGGGTGAATGGGACTTGGCCACCCCTAGCAAAGACAGGATCTGGGTAGTAAGGTGGTAAAAATAATCAGAGCCTCCACATAATCCCTGTACCCGCATCACCTCACAATAATCCCTATTGACAATCCGGGGAGGGGGCTTTGGGCCCTATTTTATAGACAGGTCAACTGAGGCTTGGAAAAGTGAGGTTCAAAGTCACATGAGCAGCTGGTGGCCAAGCCAGGCCCTGGGGCTGAGGTTTTGAAGTCCCAGCGTTATGTGCTAGGAGGGTTGTTCTCTCACCTGGGCACCTGTAGGGGCTGTGCTGGCCAAGTAAGTGGCTGAAGGGAGCTGGGTCTGAGGATCTGGCTGGTGGAGCAGCGCGCCCCCACCCAGCAGCGGCCATGGCCACTCCAGCCCAGTACCTCTGGCTCACAGGGCAGCTGGGGGGCTCACAGACCCTCTGCCTAGGTATCGGCTCACTCAGGCCCAGGCACTTCCCTTGGGTGGGGCACCCTGTGGTGGCGTGGTTGTGTACAGGGCGCTGGACAACCTCTCCCCTGGCATTTGAGGCCTCCTCTGCCCCTGCCAGGCGCCACTCCAGCCTCTCCGATTTCTGAGCAAATGAGGGTGCCTCCTCTGAGGCCTTCCGGGTCCAGGCTGCAGCCCAGCCCTCACCCTGTGCCCCTCTCCTGGCCCCTCGGGAGGCCAGGAGTTAAGGCTCCTCTTCCAGGAATCCATTAGATCTCTTCTCAAAGCCCCTGCCAGGGGACGATGAGCCCAGGTCGCCCACCACCTCCACTTCTCCAGACTGGTGGGCTCTGGAGTCCCAGGCGCCCTTCTGGTCTCTAGCTCGGCTACTTCCTAGCTGGGTGGGCCCGAGTTTCCTCATCTGTAGAATGGGTTCCTCCCGCTACAGGAAGATGCAGCAGGGAAACTCAGCCACACCAGGCCGGGCAGGCAGAGCCGGGTTCATAGCACTTGGAGGCAGTTACCCATCCTCTTCCCTATCGTTTCGGTGACCCCCTGCAAGGCCTGAAGGCGGGTGGACTAAGTTGCACCCACGGACCCCTGCTTAAGAGAGGAGCCAGGGCCCCTTTCTAGAGTGGGGGTAAGCTGGGGTGGCAGGCCGAGCAGGGGTCCGCAGACCTCAGCTGGGGCACTCACCCCGGGTGGGCCGCGCGCTCGCCGCTGGGCTCTTCGCCGCTCCGCGCTGGCCAGGCCGGACGCAGCACTGCGCTTCCCGCCCGGGCGCCCACGCAGCTCTCCTTTCCCCGCGGGCGGGGCCGACGGGGCGGGGCCAGGGACGCTGCGTCCCCCGGCCCGAGCCCCTACCGGGAGTCGCAGAGCAGGAGCAGAAGGCGGGACCCGGGCTGTGACCCGACGGCGGGAAGCCCTTTCAGGGACAGGGGGCGGTTAATTCCGGAGACGAGGCCTGGAGACCGAAGGGGAAACTGACCAGCGCTACCTGAGCGGCCTGTGAGGCTGGGATGCCGGAAGCCCTCGGGTTCAGGCCTAGCTTTGGGCTAGGCGTGCGCCCCCTACACTCCCACCTGGAGCGCTGGCGGGGAAGGCCGGTGTAACCCGACGCTCTCAGGATAATGGGCCTGGGATCTGCCACCTGCGTCTCCCTAGCTCGCTCTCCCACTTCTGGGCCCCGTCTCCCTCTGTGAGGCCCACTACTTACACCTTCCTGCTTCTCACCACCCAGGACGCGGCTGGCTCCAGGCCCAGTGTTGTGTCCTTGGGTGTGTGGCTGACCCTCTGAGCGGCTGCACGACATTGAGGGCTCCGCCTCCAGCAGGCACTGGGAAGTACTGGGAACAGGGCAGTTGCTGCCACCCACCTGTGGCTAAGGGTGCAGGGTGACCTTGTTCCTAATCAACAACGTAGGGTCATCAGATCCCAGTGCCTGGAAATGGACTTGCGACTGTCCAGCTGCCTGCACTTTGGACAGACTTGGACTAGACTTGAGCACCAGAGGGACATGGGGCCCTTCTACTCTGGTGACCCTTGAACTGCACAGTGAGCAGAGGCTTGAGGAGTGGGGGGAGCGGTGACGGGGCCCCAGGGCTGCCTGGAAACTGAATCACCCTCTAAGTGTCGTAGACCTGTTCGAACAGAGACCCTTAGTAAACCAGGTGGAGGTGGAGTCTCAGTCAACACTGCCAGGACAGGGGAAAACCAGAACTCTATGGCTTCCAGAGTTACAGTGGTGTTACAGCTACACTCCTAACGTGAAAAAATGCCATAGACTAGCAGTCCCCAACCTCCCTGGAACCAGGGACCAGCCTCATGGAAGACAACCTCTCGGCGGACTGGGGTAGGGGGGCTGGTACCCCAATGACCCACCACATTGCAATACACAAATGAAACAATCACACAATAGGGTTCATGTTCCCGTAAGAATCAAAGTCCACTGCTGATCCGACAGGAGGCCAAGCCCAGGCAATGATATGAGTGATGGACGAAGCCACACTTGTGGCCAATGCCCACCCCTGCTGCATGGTGGGATGGGTGAGTGGGGCCAACAGTCCAGGAACCTGCACCTGTCTGTGGCTTAGGGTATAGGGACCCATGCCTTAGACCTATCAGGGAAAGAATCAAGTCAGTGCCAATTCTCTGTGGTTACACGTGGAAAGGGCTAAATTAAAGGTGATTTAGGATTTCTGAGCCTGCCTTTTGAAAAAAGCTGTTGTCTTGACCAGGACTAGCAGTGTGGACCCCTCCTGGGCTCTGATCTTTCTTGGTTGCTGCAGTTCTCACCCTTATGCTCATTTCTGCAGCATCCCGCAAAGCCTTGGCCAGGTATTAAAGCCTGGCCTAACACGAAGGCCCAGGTATCAGGAGGTGACTTGAGAAAAGGAGCACTCCGGGAATGGACTGGGAAAAGGCTGAGGTTTTTTGCTAAGGCCGTCTCAGATCCTCGAACGTCTAACATGCAGTGCCAGTCCCAGGTGAGAGGACACATGGGGTGGTCACCACCCTTATTGGTCCACCCTTCTCCCTTCTTTCCCAGAAGCATCTTAGGACATCAGTGCTTTATAAGCACTTTGGGAAATGACTGGGGAGGGAGGAGGGATTCGATGTCCCTCGGCTCTGTTTATTGACTGCAAATGTGCTGCGTGATCTTGAGCAGATTATTTCACCTCTCTCAAGATGGTTTTCTGAGACCAGCAGATGGCATAATGGTTACGTTGCTGGACTCCCACGTAGTCGACAGCAGCTCAAGTCCCAGACCCAGTGCCTTAAAAAACGTCAGGCATGTGTGCCCAAGATCCCGAGAGGAGAATGGAGGAGAAAGGACTGAGATGTGGCCGTCCTCCCTGGGGGGGTCATTTGTTACTGTCTGTGTCTCTCCAGTGAGTACACGTGCCCTACAGCAAAAATCTCAAAAATAAATAAATAAATTAGTTTCACAGCACTCATTGTTGGCTACTATGGCAGCAATAGGCCCGCACATGGTCCTAGAGGGAACCACCACTTTGCTGGGATTGCAAAACAGGAAGTGATGACAGGCAGACACTAAGCCAGTAGCCTGGTCTGGTCTGGGAAATGTAGGGAGAAAAGGGGATGTGGCTGGAGGCAAGGCCAGCTCAGGGACAGCAGGGCATGTGTCACTCCCTTGTGACTATCACCACCACCGCAGGCTTCTCCCTAACCCCCCCCCACCAGAAGCATGCCTTTGCCTGAGTTTCTGCCACTTAGGAGGCTCCACATCCTAAGGGTCTTAGTCACATGTGGCCCTCGGGAAACAGCAGGCCACACCTTGGCCTCCTGAGATTGTGGGGACTGCAGACCTGCAGTGACTCTGGCATTGCCAAGGCTTGGAGAAAATGCCTCAAATTATGTGGGCTGTGGCCTAGCCGAGAGGAGGGCCGACAGGCCCCATGGAATCACAGAAGGCTGGGCCAGCAGTGCAGGACTGGCTGAGGTCACGGGCACAGGACCCCACTAAGAGAATGGGCTGGGGACCTCCATGTGGTCCAGTGGAGGGATCCACAGGCCTCTGGCAACTGGGGATGGTCCTGCTTGGATGGCCAGATTCAAATCAGGAGGCACTGGCGGGGTCAGAGGCTCTTTATTGGGCAGCAGGGGCTGCGGGGATCCAGCGGGCAGGGCGGGGCGCATCACCGGTAGAGGTAGTCGGCCTGGATGTTGGCGGCGATCTCGGCCTCCCACTTGTCTCCATTGTTGAGCAGCTTCTCCTTGTTGTACAGCAGCTCTTCGTGTGTCTCCGTGGAGAACTCGAAGTTGGGGCCCTGTGGTTGGGGGAGGAGGGATGGTTGTTGGCAGGTCCCTCCCAGAAACCTCTGCCTTGCCTGCCCCATCTAGAGCCTGCTTACCTCAACAATGGCATCCACAGGGCAGGCCTCCTGGCAGAAGCCACAATAGATGCACTTGGTCATGTCGATGTCATAGCGGGTGGTTCGGCGGCTGCCATCAGCTCTTGGCTCGGCCTCGATGGTGATGGCCTGGTGGGAGGGCCAGTGGACACTGCCAAAATGCCCAGCCCTATCATGACCCCTAGGTCTACTCCTTGCAGCTCGTTCCTACCCCTGGAATCTACACAGATGCCTCCCAAGAGACCACCCCTCACATCTGCACAACAGCTTCAGGTTTCTTCCTAACACTCGCCCCAGCTGACCGTCCTCTGGTTTGCTTGCTGGTTATCGCTGTTACTTCCTATCCAAGAACATAATCCCCTTGAGGGAGGCTGCTTCAATGCAGCACCCACAGTCTTAAGGAGTCTCCCCCTGTAGTAAGAGCTCAATTACTGTTGAAGGACTTCCCAAAGCCACGCAGCAACAGAGGAGCAAAGCCCTGAGACCTGGGGGTAAAGCACGTCCTTACCTCTGTTCCTGAGCATGGTCTTTTTTTTTTTAAGAATTATTTTTATTTAAATATATTTATTTATTCCAATTTGACCACAGAGCAAGAGTGAGAGACAGAGAGAAAATGAGAAAGCAAGCTGCCAGGTCCAGGCCTTGAACTGTGATCAGCCATGTTGGAGTCCAACACGCTTAAACACTACATCAGCCAGCCCCTGAATACAGTCTTATGCCAGCTGGGGGAAAGGAGCTCCCACAGTCAGGAGAACCTTCAAAAGTGCTTGGCAATGGGACCACAGTTAGTGTAATGGCTATGTCACTGGACTCCCATGTAGTTGACCGCGGTTCGAGTCCCGGACCCAGTGACTTAAAACTCACGCCAGGTGCGTGTGTGTGCATGCCTAAGATCCCGAGAGGAGAAGGGATTGCAGTGTGGCCATCCCCACTGGGGGGTGATTTCTCACTTTCTCTCTCTCTGTCTTTCTGGCGAGTACATGCGCCCTATGGCAAAACCTCTCAAAAAAAAAAGGTGCTTGGCAATGACCCTTATCCCTCAATCCAGGAATACAATGCCCACCCCTGTAGTGGTGTCTTTGGATATAGCCTCATCATTTTGTGTAAAAATGTGAATAATGGCTTCTACCTACTGTTCTTGTAAACATTAAATGCGACAATGCAGGTAATGAGCAGGTAAACGGCATTCCCTGGACGCCAGGCCCATCATCGGTGCTGCTGCTGTTGTTTGGGGCCCCTTCCATGGGCTCCCGTTCAAGACCACAGCCTGTGGCTTGGAGGACCTGGGAGTGGTCCAGGAGACAAGCTAGGACTTGGACGAGCGCTGCCCTAAGTCAGGGAACACCCCCCATAGGGACAGTGAGTAAGGACAGTGCTGCTAGGTTCCTCTTGGGCACACTCAGGGCCTGGACCAGAGCTGTGGCTGCATCTCCTGTTTCTGCACTAACAGGGCTCACAGGAGCAGCAACCAGGGCTCAGGGGCTCAGTGGTGATGTGTATCCTTGGACAACCTATGACAGGCACACGGGAGGGGTCCTGAAAGCGCCACTACATCCAGGACAAGTGCTGACCCTCAGGTGCTCACAGGCCCAAGTCTGATGTCCCTTACCAGACCCTCTGGGGCAGGGCCCACACAGATCCAGTGCCTGCTCAGGGCACTGTGACTCACAGGCCCCGAACACCCTGGCCACAGGACTCATCACTTCCATTCACAGGGAAGAAGTGCCTCAGAGAGGGACAGGGACTTTCTTGGGGACACACATGGAGTAGGGTGAGGGGCAGAGTTTGGGTCCAGGGATACCTGGCTTCTCTCTCACCTTGTGGCAGGGGCTGGGGTGGTGGCCGGGGGGTGAGGGGCTCACCTGGGCCGGGCAGACAGCCTCACAAAGCTTGCAGGCAATGCAGCGCTCCTCCCCAGATGGGTAACGGCGCAGCGCGTGCTCCCCACGGAAGCGCGGGCTCAGAGGGCCCTTCTCAAATGGGTAGTTAATAGTGGCCGGCTCTCGGAACAGGTAGCTCAGGGTCATGCCCAGGCCTGTAGAAAACATGTATGTAGTGGGCAGGGGGAAGCCCCTCCTCCCCTACCCACCAACCCGTCTGTGCCCAACCCCTGCCTGCCCTGTCCTCTCTCCGCCAGGGCCCACCTCGGATGAGTTCAGTCCACATCAGGGTCCGAGCTGCCCGGTCAGTCACCGACTTCATGTCCATCTCAGGCTCCCCCATGTTCACATACTCTGTGGGGAGGCGGGCAGAGGCTGAGGCAGGAGGCCTCACACGCCCTCCTGTGCCTGTTCTCTAGAGGAGCCAGCTCAGGAGATGAGGCCTTGTTCTCACTTCCGGGGACAATAGTCGGGTGTCTGGGGCAGCCTGTTCATTCACCAAACCTTTCCTAAGCCTCATTGAGGACGCCATGGGGCCAACCTCTGGCCCCAAGCAGTGCTTGCCCATTTCCCCCTGTGCCTGGGAAGTCAACTGAGGCCTGGAAGTCTTCGAGCAGGGATTTAAAGAGTTGAAGTGGATGGATAAGGGGACTTGGTGAAGACTTACAAATACTCTGGCTCACTCAGGCAGCTCCCTCCCCGTTACACCCAGGGGAGCCCTAAGGTCACACCTGCTAACCCCTGTCATGATGGATTCTGCCCTATGCATCATATTCAATTGTGACCATCATGCTCATTTTACAAAGCGGAAACTGAGGCTCAGAGAGAGATGCTCCTGACAAAACCAAGACTAGACTAAAACTTTATTTTTCCTCCCTTGCTATTCTAGCAGGACCATAATCAGGAAAACCTGAGGCCAGAGACCACCCACATACTCACTGTAGGTGGCAGTCACTGCACTGCTGTGGAGGCTTCGGCCACTGGGGTGTCCTACAAGGTGAGGGGTGATGCTTTGTAGCCATGACCTCATGCCAGGAGACAGGGTTCCCCCACACACCCCTCTAGGGGAAAGCCTCCCTTGGTCCTACCTGCACGTGCAGCCTGGGCCAGGGCCCGCAGCAGCGTGGAAGTGGTCAGGCAGTGCATCTGGGGCATAAAAACAGAGAGTGGCCTGGAGTCCAAGAACAGCCCTTCCCAGGAACCACAGGAGCCCTGAGCCTTGACCCCAAGACCATGGTGCCATCCTGTTCCCTACTCATACCACATCCTGTCTGACCCCTCCCAGCCCTCCAACCTGACCCAGCTCAGCTGTGATAAAGTTTAGGGAATTCATGCAGACCCCAAGGCCTATCTATCAATATCTTATTTCCTAAGAAAACTTTTAAATTGATCCCTTCTCCATTCCCGATCTCCTTCAAACTGAAGAACACTTCTAAGCACCGCCAGCTTGTTCTAAGAGATAACTCTGTGTTGGGCAGTGTGCCAGGGGTCGTGTGCACTGTCATCCTGTCCTTCCAAGGACCCTTCGCAGGAGGCACAGATGAGAAACCACAGCTGACTGTTAAGTGAGTCACCCAAAATCACACAACAGGGAGGTGAGTGCAGGAATTGGACCCAGCCCTCCTCTCCTGGAAACCTTTAAAGAATCCTCAGAATCAAATTTATCCTTCCTGCTTCAAAGCTCCCCTGGAACTGTTCCCAAGCCAAGTGACCCTGGACAGATGACATGACCTGGCCTCGGTCTTCTCACCTGTAAAATAGGGAGGTCATGAGAACTACGGGAGTTCTCGCAGGCAAAGGGTTATAGCCCAGAGCCCACACTTAGCCAGATCGCAAGAGTGCCCCTCCATAGCCTGTGCACTCTAGCAGCCCCACTTCTTTTGACCACCGATTTCAGTTCCACGTACCCAACCCAGCACCTTTTCTGACCTTCCCCATGACCTCTGACCCTACAGACGCAGAAGGTGCCAGGCCTGGCAGTACAGACGCCCTGAGAGCGCTGGCTTCCGGTCAGCCCGTTACACGCTGAAGGACACAGAGGCTAAGGGCCCTATTGGACCAATATGAGGCCTGACCTGAGAACAGAGGTGGCAAGGCCAACGGGGACACCACACTCGTCTCCGATGCCCCGCTGTCCAGGCCCCGCTGTGAGGGCCGACCCCTGAGCACCCACCTTGAAGCGCAGCCACTCGTTCCCTGGAGGAGCCGAGAGGAGGAGCCTATACCCAGAGACGCTGCCATTGGGCCAGCTGCCTTCGTCTTTTTCTTGCCAACCTTCCATGGTGTAATCTGATTGGCCAGTTGCGGGGCCGAAGGAGGCGGGATTCAGAAATAACTTTCCTCTGACTGGCTAAGGGAAGGCCGGTGCTTGAAGCCCTGTAGGGAGCCGCCATATTGTTTTGGACGGACCAATACGCTAGGACTCTTGAGTCGCCGGAGGCGGGACTTCCGGGCGTGGTTTGGACAGCAGCTCCGGGACCCGGGGCCTGGCGGACCGACCGGGTCTTCTCCAGGAGCGCGTAGTGACGTCAGTAATGACAGCGGGGACCGGGGGGAACGCGGGCGGCCTGTGTCCCAC